GTCCCAAGGAAAGCTGGGAATTAGTTTTTCCTTTCTTTGTTCCTCCTCAGCTCTGTCCTACAGCCGCTTCCTACAGAGAAGAAGAAAACGTGTTTCCTTCGGTTTCTGTTTGCTCCTAATTTCTCCTGTGGAAACCGATCTGGAAATCCAAGCACTGTGCATCCGCAGCTCAGTCTTTAGCTCGGGATAATGGGCACACGGCCTTCCTCCAACAGCAATTTAATGGCATTACCCTTCATTTGATCACAGGGACCGAATGCTTCGCTTCTTTCTTTGGAACAAACTCCCTTTGCTGTGTATCCAGGTCACCTTGGACAGCTGTGCTCATTTTTGGCCCCCGAGCTGCTGAGAGCTGCCAGGGGCTGAACGGCAGCACCACACCTCAGTGAGCGCTGTGCTCTCATCTGGTTTAAATCTAACTTTTAATGAAGCAAAACTGTCAGGAAAGGGGAGGAGGGAGGTGAGGAACGTTTCTGCAGCAGCGCCGCTCCCGTTTCTGCCATTCAGAGGATTCCGTGGGTTTTTGAGCAGAACGCACGTGGGCTGAAAATGCTGACGGCGTGATCGCATCCCGGAGTCCCAGGTCTTCATCCATTGTTTCTGTAGTTTAACAGGAATTAGAAACAGCACCGAATATATAGGGATGGCTGCAGTCCTCCGTTTGGGAAGCTGAAGTGAGCGCTGCTGGCTTCTGCCTCATCTTTCCTCTTCCCTCTGAGTGCCGCAGGGAGCAACGCATGGAATTTGTTCTCAGAGATGATTCTGAAGATAGTGAGAAGGGGAATTTTAGATGGGAAATGACGTGGAGAACTGCTGCTGTGACACAGCTGTGAGCCTCAGAACCCGACCTCCTGGGTTTGGATGGCAAGATGAAAGCACCATCCGCTCCTCCTGCGCTGTTGGTGCATGAGATGCTGCTCCTCAAATCTGTTTCCCCTGTGGAGATAAAGACTTTTTTTTGGTAGTCCACGTTGGAAATAAATTTGTCAACAGGGAAAGAAGGATCCTTTCATAGAACCATAGCATCTTTTGAGTTGGAAGGGACCTTTACAGGTCATCTTGTCTCACTCCTCTGCATTGAACAGGGACATCTGCAGCTCCATCAGGTGCTCAGAGCCTGGTCCAGTCTGACCTTCTTCCCTTCCTCTGACATCCCTTCCCCTTCTTCTTTTCCTTCCCCTTCTTCTTTTCCTTTCCTCTTCACTCTCCTCTCCATAAAACAGAAGGATGTTACCCTGTAATTTCATTATTTTAAGTCAGACTTCTTAAAACCTGGCTGATCTCTAAGTTCCCCCTCTGCAGTGCTGGTTACTGCTGGCTGCTTTATTCGTGCCACAGCAGAAGGAACCACACGCTGCCTGCTTTCCCCTTCCTGTGATTCGTCCATCAGCAGAACCAGGAGCTGTGTGGGAGCAGAGGAGCCCACACTGGGAGCAGTCCAGGAATGCACCTTGTTGAAGTTTCCTCTCCAGAGGGCTGCTCTGCCTGTGCCCATCACGGCCTCCTTTGGGCAGGTTGTTTTTGGAGAGAGCCTGTGCATTTGAGGGATTGCTTTCCACCATACGTGATGTATGGGATAATACAGCTCTGCCATACCCATGTGCAAAACTCAGCTCCTCCTCATCTGCACTGGTAGCAGGGGATTGCAGCTCCCTGCTCGTGGTGATCCTTCACTGTCCCTCACCTGTGCTGGAAGCAGCGTGCTGCTATGAGGTTTATGCATGGAGGTGTGCAAACCGTAATCAGAGTGCAGAGTTAATTAGTGCAGATCCACTGAAACCCACAGCGCTTTGTTCCATCGGGTCATGCGGTGCTCAGAGCTCTTTTCTATGTGAATTGTTCCTGTCAGAGCAAAACTAAGCTTAGTCAATGGAGCCTTTTGGTGATGCATGGTAATTTCCTTTTCCCAGTGCCTTTCCATTTAAAGAAAAGTTTTTTTTAATTAGAATGCTAACTCATCTATACATTACATGGCAGAGAGAATGCAGGAGAATCAGGGTGCTCAGCAAGCTGAAGCAGAGCACAGTGCTAATGGAGATGGAATGATTATTCGGAAGGAATACAGGCGTGCTGGTTTTGTTCTGTTTTTATTTGGTAGCTTCATTCCAGATCTCTGCTTTTGTCCTAAGTTCATCTTTGGTTTCATGTGCTGTTCAGTTCACACCTTGCTGTTCTGGACACTGGTCGTGGGTGATGTTGTGACGTTTGGTGGCTTTGTGAATATTGGAGAGAATTGCTGTGCCAAGAGGAAGAAGCAGGAAATCAGTGCCCTGGTGGAAGGCAGCCCACTGCTGCACAAAGTTCATCAGTAAGGCAGCTTATTAAGCTTGCAACTGCTGACACTGTGATGGTTTTGCATCATGTGGTGGAATCCTGTCCTGGAATGGCCATCGCTTCCCTTGAAGAGGAAAAACTCTCAAAGTCAAGCAAGATTTTGTTTGCACTGAGGAAAGGGTTTGAGGTTTTGTTCTGGTATTTTGCTTTGAATAACTTCTCTTGCTCTTCTCATGGAGGTTCTGCAGCAGCAGCGAGGCTGTTCCTGTATGATGCAATGCTGTGTGTGCCATTGGGTCCTTGGCAACAGGGCTGTCCTGCAGAGCGCACGTGCAGTGTTGGCTGGATGTTGTCTGCCTTGACTTCAGCAAGGCTTTTGGTACCATATCCCAAGATATCCTGGTAAGGAAGCTGTGGGGTAGATGAGAGGACAGAGAGGTGAGCTGAGAGCTGTCTGAGCTCAGAGGGCACATATCAGTACAGTTGGATGTGAGCTGCTGGAGAGGAGCTCTGCAGAGGAGGACCTGGGGGTCCTGGTGGGTGACAGGTTGTCCAGAGCCAGCAGTGTGCCCTGGTGGCCAAGAAGGCCAATGGGATCCTGGGGTGCATGAAAGGGAGTGTGGGCAGCAGGGCAATGGAGGTGATCCTCCCCTGTGCTCTGCCCTGGTCAGGCCTCATCTGGAGTACTGCATCCAGTTGTGGGTTCCCCAGTACAAAACAGACAGGGATCTCTTGGAGAAGACCAGCAGAGAGGGCACGAAGATGATGCAGGGCCTGGAGCATCTCCTTTGAGGAAAGGCTGAGCGACCTGGGGCTGTTCAGGCATGAGAAAAGAAGGCTGAGAAGGAATCTTAAGAAATGTTTACAAATATCTTATGTGTGAGAGTCGAAGGGACATGGCCAACCTGTTCTCAGCAGTCTGTGGGGGCAGAACAAGGGGAAATGGCCACAAACTGGAGCATAGGAAATTCTACAACAATATGCAGAAGAACTTTTTCACAGTGATGGTGATGGAGCACTGGGATGGGCTGCCCAGGGAGCTGGTGGGGTCTCCTTCTCTGGAAATATTCCAGACCTGTTTGGATGCCAACTTGTGCAGCCTGCTGCAGGGAGCTGCTTGGGCAGGGGGTTGGATTCACTGAGCTCAGGAGGTTCCTTCCAACCCCTGCAGTTCTGTGACTCTGAAGGATCAGCCCCAGCAGGTGGAGGTGTGGAATGGTGCAGATCACTTCTCTGTGCTTTGTTCAGGGTTATGCTGCATCGCGAGCACTGATGGTGTGATTCTGGCCATAAGGTTTTGCTGTGCTCATGGGGGGTGTTCAGGATGTCAGCATGCTTTTCGGTTTTGTACCTCAGCTGTAGCACAGAACCTTCAGTGCCAGCCCAGTTGTGGTTATTAACATCTCTGACCATGGGAAGAGCTTCTTTTCATTGCTTGGTTGGCACAGCACAGGTCTGTGGCTCTGATGTGAGCCTGGAACAATGAAATAGGGACGTGCAATTCCACTTACAAGGATGACTGCTAGTGAGGCTGCAGTGAGGCAGCTGTACCAAACCCCATTGGCAGAGCTGCAGCTTCACGTGAAATATTAGCACCTGGCTCTGAGCAGGATGATGGTTCCCAACACCTTTCTGACCCGGGTAGCAATCCCTCCAAAACCATTGCATTTATATGGCACCTGGCTGTTAGCTTGTAGCACGGGAGGTGCATGACAGCAAAGCCCATCCCGAGGTTCAGCCCCATTTTTGGTGTTCAGGGCAGGAGGACTGTGATGTGAGTGGTGCACAGGAGGGCTGCCAGGCTGAGCAGTGCAGGCAGGAGTTGGGAGAGCAGCTTTTCAAGTTGGCCTTTCACTTCAATGGGCAGTGAGTGCAGCTGGGAAGCGCATCGCCGTCACCTGCACACAGCTTACAGCCCAGCTTATTTCTCCGGTCTGGCAGAAATACCCATTGAAAAACGTGGTGCTGAAGATGTTTTAGAAATCATTGCTTCACTACCAGCAAAAGGGGCACAGCACTTTGTCACTGCATTTCAGAGCTCAGTTCAATCCAGTGCTGTTTGTGTGATGCCGGTGCTGTTTTGCTCTGGGGCACTTCGACTTTCCCAGCTCTTCCTTTCATTCCTTTGAATCGTTTCTGGATTTGCAAGGATGGAAGTGAAGCACTCAGGGCCTCTCCTTCTGGGCAGCGTTGGTTTCCATCTGATCATCCACAGGGAGTGCAGCACCTGTGGGATCAGACATTTGCAGTGCTTCAAAATGGGTTTATTTTCATTGCTCTGCAGAGGAAGCAATCACTGAATACAGAATTTGTGTATTCATTTCAGTGTTTTGGAGTTCAGTACCTGAAACCCCAGCAGGCTCTGCATCCCTCTATGCCATCTTAGTCCTTTACATGGCAGAGTGCAGTCCTGTTTGCTTCCTATAAAAGATGGGTTAAAGTGGGAAGGAAACAGGGAAGTGCTTGGGAGCATGAGGAGCTGCTGCAGCCCCGCATACTCTGACGGCTGCAGCCTGCAAGTTTGAATCAGAGCCATCTCCTTTGTAAAGAATGCAGATAATGCTTTTTTTTTTTTCTTTTTTTTCAGCAGAAAAGAAAAAAAAAAAGGGGGGGGGGGGGGGGGTAACCTGATCTGAGTCTGACAGTGTCATTAAGTGCTTCCATCTGTTGCTCGCTGTTTCCCTTATTCATGAGCCCTCTCTCTCTCTCCCCCTCCTTCTCCTTAGCCCCTCTGAGGAAAGCAAAGTTTGTTGAGAGCCCTCGCATCCCTGAGTCTGAGCTTGGCTCACCAACACTCTCTTCAGCACAGAAACTGGACGTGGATGCATACTGCCCTGGTAAGCTGCATGCAGAGGTGCTGCATTTGGAGAGGGACTGCAGCTCCGGCCAGAAGGAGCGCTGCATGTAGTGCAGCTCTGTTTGATGGTGCTGGCTGGGAGCTGCACAGCCCCGTTGCATTGAGCAGCTCCATGCATTCGTTTCTCACTGCTGCCCATTCACACCTGCTGCTTGCTGTGTGCTGCAGGTGAGAGCTGCATGGCTGCCCCCCCCCCTGGGGCAACGTAGGAGACGGGGAGTATGGATTACAGGAGGTGAAAGTGATCCAGTTCACTTGAAATTTCATTTTTCATGCTGGCTCTTGGAAGGGCTGGAATGAGAACACGTTTCACAGCTATCATTGCACAGTGTTGTGTGGTCTCGTTGAGCCTACACCCAAAAACATTGCAGATGGTGAGAGCCTGTGGGCTGTTCGTGGCCGGGGGAGCTGTGTGAGCAGTGCTTGGGGTGCAGGCTTTCTTCAGTGTGCTTTGAGACTGGCTTCTTAAATAAAAAAGCAATCTCTGTGCTTGGAAGTGCCTCCTCCAGGCCAGAGCTGCTATGAAAAGGGCTCTTCCTTTGTCAAGGATCATGAAATACTTAAAATTTTGCCATCGCAGCCCTTTCTTCTTCCAACTGAATTCCTTCTACTCCTGTGTTTGTAACTGTAGTAATTAGAACTTGTTATGATTGGACCTGCAGAGAATTAGAGTTGTAAATGTGGCTTAAAAGCAGAAATCCTGCATTCCTCACTCATGGCATCTCTCCCAGGTGTGTTTCGTCCTTCTGCCCCAGCTGCATGTGCCCGTGGTTTGGGGGTGGGCATCCTCCTATCTATCACACACACAGCCCTGGGTGCTGATGGTGGCATTTCGTATTGTTTCTGGTTTTTTTGCCTTTTGATCTCCTTCACTCACTGCCAGGGGAGTGATGTTAAAGGGGTTGTGGGATTTCCTCGTGCTTTGAGGTGTCACTGAAGAAACATGATGGAAAAAAAGAAGGGAGAGGAAGAGAGTGAGTTGCCATAGGGCGTGCTGCTGGGCAGGGCTTATGTGGTGGCATGGCTGACACTGGGAGGGAACATTCCTGGCAACCCTGGGAGAATGGTGAAAGGAATCATCTGGGGAAGGATTTCTGGAGCTGTTCCTGGAGAAAAGGTTTGCAGTGCACAGGGATCCCCCTGAAGTCATAGACTCAGAGAGTCATTGTGTTGGGAAAGGCCAAGACCGGGTTGGATGGGACCCTGAGCAACCAGATCCAGACCCAGATCTGTAGGTTGGTGGCCCTGTGTGGCAGGGTGCTGGGACCTGGTGATCCTTGGGGTCCCTTCCAACCCAAGCCAGTGTATGAGGACCATTAGGATCACCAAGCCCAGCCATTGATCCATCACCACCATGCCCACCAGCCTTGTGTGAGGAGAAGGGGGAGAACAGAGATCTGGACAACGCGTGAAGAATGGCTGCCTCTGAACGTAGGTGATGTCCAGCTGCAGTGGGAGGGTGGAGGAAAGGGCCTCAATTTCATCTGGGACTGTGGCAAAGCCAGCAGGCAGCACCCAGCATTGGTTCTCCAAGGAGTTCCAGCTCCTTTCCTTATATCTGGTCTTGCTTTGTCCTGCTCTGTGGTGCGTGCATCCTGCAGGGGTGTTCGTGGTGTCAACCTGAGCATCTCCAGGAACGGGATCAGGAGGAGCAAGGCTCAGAGTTGAAGGAAATAAAAAAGGTTGGAGGTGTGCAGGAGCTGAGTGGGGGGTGGAGGGCTTTGCAAAATGATCCCTGACAAGTAATGTCATTAATTGCACACTTAAAGGCAGTTTAAAACACTCAATAGAGATGAGGAGAGAACATTTTCTGCTCTCCTTATAGGAATGATTGCTTCAGCTCGAGGTGCCTGAAGATGCAGTTTTGCTCAATGCTGTCTGTGTTAAGGCTGAGGATGATTTCAGCAGGGAAGGGTTCCTTTGCTGTGCTGCGGTGTGAATTGGTGCCTGTAATAATGCACGCTCACTGCTGGAAATGTGGAAGGAGCAGAAGGGGCTGGATGGCATCAGAGGGAGCTGCTGATGGGGAGGGCATAGCTGAGGCTGGAAACTGTTCTGCTCATTGTTAGGCTCTGTGCTGCTGGTCGTGCTGAGTTCTGGAGGGTGAATTTTGGTTCAGGTGAAAGCAGCCATTGCCCCACGTCCTACAGTGGTTTCGTTTTAGGTGGCAGAAGGGTTCTGTGGCTTCAAGAAAGACATTTCTCAGTGCTATTTGTGTACATCTTCCTGTGACTGCACGGCCATTAGAGGTAACCCTGCCCTTCTGGGCATCCAGGTGGTGAAGGAGCTGCTGCCTCCTGTCTTGGTGCTGCTGCTCTATGTCCTTCTTCTCTTGTTTAAGCCTGGCATCTCAGTTTGATCTCTTAAGTGCTGCAGGGCTGTGCTGAAAGTGCTCTGAGACAGATGGATGGTGCTTTCAGGGAATGGCCTTTCCTCTTAGATCTGAGGCAGTGGTTGCATTTTGTGTAATTTATTGCCTTGTCATTGGGCTTCAAAGGCCAAACGTGTTCTGACGTTACCTTTTAATGGGATTAAATCCTTCTGCAGAAGAAGCAGTTGGTGACTGTCTGCTTGCCTGGGGTGTCTCCTTCCATTCCATGAAGTGGGGCCCCCTCACAGTGCCATGGACAGTGAGGGCTGACCTGGGGGCTTCCCACTGCCATGTTGTTCATGGCCATCCCGTTGCTCCTTTCTCTTTTGCACCACACAGACTGACACCTGCTTCCTTTTGCTTCTTTCTTTTCATCGTGTAAAAGTGTGGGGTTTTTCACTTTACACACACAGGAGCTTCTGTCAAACACCAACAGGGCACCTCTTCTGCAGGAGTCAGAGCTGCACTTGGAGGTTTCGTGATGAAAGCACAGGAAATAAGCGAAACAAAAAGCTCCAAACGAAACATCAGACAGCAGGATGTGTGTCCAACCCGTCACATCAGATGGTGAGAAAGGCTGGGAATGATCAAACCGACCATGGCCTGACAAATGCTGTTACTGGGAGCCCTGCATCTGGCCCAGCGTTCTCCAGCCCACTGACCTGGAGGGAATGGGAAATCATTGCAATCAGCCCTAATTGCAGCAATTGTGGCCATTCCCTGCCTGGTTGCTATGGGAGCCATTGATGTCTCTCAGGCTCCTCTTGGGAGGACAGCACTGTTTTCTGTTGTGCTTTGAGGTAGGAAGAAACTCAAAGTAAACCAGGCTGAGATTCTGCCATCAGGACATGCGTAGAGGTCACAGAACCATTGCTGTTGGAGAAGGGCTTCAGGATCACCAGGTCCAACCATCAGCCCGTGGCCACTGTGTCCCTCCACAGAGCCACAGAATCACAGAATGGCCAGGGTAGGAAGGGACCTCAGGGATCTGAAGCTCCAACCCCCTGCCACACGCAGGGCCCCCGACCTCCACATTTCATAGCAGCCCAGGCTGCCCAGGGCCCCATCCAACCTGGCCTTGAACACCTCCAGGGATGGACGGGGCATCACAGCCTCTCTGGGCAGCTGTTCCAGCACCTCACCACTCTCACAGCAAAGAACTTCCCCCTGACATCCAACCTCAACCCTGCCTCCCTCAACTTCAACCATTTCCCCTTGTCCTGCTGTTATCTCCCCTTTCACAGAGTTGATTCCCCTCCTGTTTGCAGGCTCCCTTTAGGCACTGCAGGCTGCAATGAGGTCACCCCACAGCCTTCTTTTCTCCAGGCTGAACAAGCCCAGCCTGTCTTTGTAGGGAGGTGCTCCAGCCCTGATGTCCTCCAGCATCCCAGAGGAGCATCATTTTGGGATCGGCTGCAGACTGCTCACCGCTGGGTGTCGGTGGGCTTCTGTGGCAACTGAAGGTGCAAACAGAGGTTTGTGGAATGAGCCTTTGTGTCAAAGTGCCTGAGGGCAGAGCTGGAAATAGCAGGGATTGCAGGTACTGCTGCCGTCTGTTTTGGCTGTTATGTGAGCTGAGATGACACGGTACTCTGGAAGCTTCCTGATGTGATCTACAAACCACTGGCTTTCCTTTGTAACCTAGGGATTGGTTTCCTCTCTCTGGAGAGCAAACAAAAAGACTTATGGTGGTGGTCCAGAAGTGAAGTGTAGGAGAGGTCCAGCTCCAAAGCACCACTTGGCTGCAGGACAGGAGCTGGGAGGTGCTTGTGGCAAACTGCTGCTATTGGTTCTGAAACCATCAGTGATGAGCCCATCAGGATCAGTGCAAAGCCCTCATTTTCACATCTGAGCCCATGTAATGCTCCGTACCACACTTCCCTGCAAGCAGGCAGAACCAGGGGCCTTTGCTGTACTGTGTGCTCAGTTGTGGCCTTGCTGATGGGCAGAGACGAGTTCACACTTCACCTTCAGAGTTCATGGTGGGAATATAAGGATGCTAAAGAAGAAAAAGGAAGGGGCAGTGATGTAGGTGGGGCTCTTGGTCATCACCTTGCCAATTAGTCATCCTTTTTTCCTCCCAACTTGGATATTTCATAGAAAGTGGTTTGGGTCAGAAGGGACTTTAAGATCATCTTGTTCCAACCCCCTGCTACAGGCAGGGCACCTCTCTTTAAACCAGGTTGCTCAAAGATGTATTTATTCCCAAAAACTTTACAATCTGAAGGAAGCAATCAATAATTCTGCTTTTGTTACGATTTTGGATGTGAGTTTTGGGGCAGTATTAGTTTTGCTGCAAGTTTCTATGGATGTAAGAAGTGAATGTTGGTTTTACCAGCTCTAAAGATAAGTGTGTTTTTGGAGAGCTGCTCCATTCTTTTACAAGCTTGGTTCCCATGTCCTAATGGTTGAATCAATCCAATGGATGCTTTTTTTCCCCCTTAACCAAAATACGCTTGAACTCCCGGGATGCTATGGAGAGCTTCTCATCAGTGAAAATATGTGGTGCTCTGAAAGCCGCTCTGCTGCTCTCTTACCAGTTGCCTTGACTTCCTACCACTCTTTAGGACTGCAAAACAAGGGCTTCTTTATTCTTTTCCAGTGGGAAT